GGCAGACGGGACAATAATTTCCCCGAAAATCTGCCCGCAGTCGCCTCCAAATAGCTGGCTGAAGACATGCGACAATTATACCGGACAATACTTATTTTCTTGTTCTCTCGGCATTTCGTGGAAACATGTGTCATAGGCGATTTTTCGTGAATGCACGTTTGATGGACAGGTTTGTCGACACTAACATATCACCGACACTCGTTACGCGAATTTCACACTGCGGGGACATTTTTTCGCGGGTGTGTCGATCGTTGGCCGGCAGTCCCGTCCACACAGCTTCGCCGGCGACATTCTGCAACGGCTCATTACAGAAACGTTATCTCACGTGTGCCCACCCTACAACAAATTTGCCGCGACAATCTGGGGTGACTTCTTACAAAAAAAAAAGGCTAGTCATAGTAGCTGTTTATAAATCAATCTGTCGATGAAACATCGTTCGACGAACTGATTGTTACCGCCAATGCGTTTGCAGGTAGAATTTCGGGAAATTATTTTTCCAGCTGCCGGGAGAATAGGCAATGTATACCTTACAATGACCCCTGTTCTTGTATGCTTTGCAATCTTCTCAGCTGTATAAAAGCTTAGAAGCACCTTTTTACATTTCGCAGAGCGCTTCCACGTTTGTACTTATCTACGGGACATGCTGTGCGTAATAAACTTCTAGGAGATTTGAAAACAAACTTCTGTGTCTGTCTTCCTGTCCGTTTACGAACGCCTGCGCGAGTAATTTTTTTTTACTGGTTTCCTTCATGTTTTAAGTGGGTTAATTCAGTTCGGGACATCTTTAATAAGTTTGAGATATCCAACCTTCCAGATGGTGCCCACTTAGGGTTAACGAATAATTAACCTGGTTGCAAGATTCTAGCTTGGGAGCGATTTATTTCAACAAGCATTGTTCAGCGAAGGAAATGCCGCGGCTATGCTTCTGCTAGAGCAAGTGAGCCAACCCTGCCTTTCGTGGCTTGGTCGCGTCTGCTCATTTGCTTGTGCGTCATATATTCAGCTGCATAGTTCAGAAACAGCTGATGGAGGCCAGTCATCCTTGACATCACGACGACTTGGTTGAGCTTACGGAAAACTCTCTAGCCTATTGTGAGCCAAGCTCTTGAGAACATCTCGATGATAGATAAACGAGTGAACTTATGTATAGTCTTGGACGTCGTCAACTGATGCGGAAGAAAACTGGAGTCGTCGATAGAGGGATTCCAAACAATGCTCGAGGAAGAGCGGTACGTGTGTGTGTATGCGGGCATATCTTTTCGATGACAATCCGCATACGGATACTTTTTATTAGGTAAACGAGACCTTGGGTAAGTGATTTTGAAGTACTGATAATTATTTGAGCAATTGCGTTCATTTTTGTCTTGCTTCAACTTTATTCAATAAAGGGAAAGCAGCCGTTCATTCGAACATTACTTTTAACTTCTTCATGCGCTAGGGGCTCCAGTAATGCCATTTTTACTGTAATTGCATGCATTGTCCTGTACCAGTTCCTCTTGCTGCAAGCTGTATCACTTGAGTTACAATCATAAAAAATATCAACAGTATCAGTAAAAAAAAATCAGGCTGCTTTGACTTCGTTAAGAATGGCGTGAACTATTCCTTGATCGAAGTTTTTTTCTTGTTTTATTTTGGAATGGTGCAAACAAGTCAATGCACATGTGTTCTTTTCATTATCTAACGGGAGCACATGCAGTGATTTATCACCTTTAAATCTAATAATAAATCCTCATAATTTTACCAAAAGGCGCGCTTTTTCCTGTTTCACCCTTCATTTAGTGAAGGGTATAAGAACGGTGTAGAAGAGGCTGCTAAATAAATAATACGAAAAGGTTTTGGAAAGCTTATACATGGCTCTCTTGATAATGTACAGGTTAGATTTCTGCTTGAACACCTACGCTTGTTAGCAGTCTTCTTTTTGATTATGCCAGTTGTAATTTATGCAAATAGCTGATAATAAAGTGCCTCTTTTGCATACAATTTTTATGTTTGCCAACAAAATTTCATATATGAGTTAAGATATAATTTTCTTACAAATTACTCCGTACTCAGAAATTTGAAACCATGGAGAAATGCTCAATACTTGCGTTTTTTGCAAATATTTATTGATGGAAATGTACAGTAAGAAATTCAGTTAGTCTCGAGTTTATATCTGACAACACGAAATGAAATCAAAATAAAGTAAATATGTTCAACAAATATTCATGACGTGCTGCTAGAACCTGTCACATGACCATGTCAACCTAGGTCAAATGTTCATTCGAGAATATGATTACATGCACAATAACTCACAGCCATAAAGAGGCAGAACCCATAATAAACCAGTCCGAGGCATCCCATAGAAAATGGTCTATGGTCGTCTAAGAAAATTGAATGACAGGCTATCACCTCCTATAGCCTTGTCGGCCTTAGAAATCTATAAATACAGCTACAGTCAGCTATATCAAAGCCTAGGGCCCTGTGTCTAAAGCCAGGGAACCAATAAATTTTCTTTGCCTGCCTATAGACAATTCTATGGTCCTGAGTCTAAAAACTCAGGGCCATGCTTCAATCACAACGACAATAATCAAAATCATAATGAAATTAATAAATAGGTGCGTTTTTAACAGTGGCCAGGGATATTCAATTGGTCGTCTTGCTGGCGCAGTTCAATAGAAAGCACGAACACACGCTTGAGCGCGCGCAGGTACACACATACACGCGCGCAGGCACGTACATACGCATGCACGCGCGCAAACCGAAACTAACTCAAGCAACGTTTCGTTGCTTGAGTTAGTTTCGGTTTTGCACAAAAAAAGAAACAACCTAAAGTTTAAATAAAACCTAAGAGTTAGTAAATTTTTGTTAATATTTTACATTATTATTGCAGTGAAATTTTTATTGTTACTAATATAATAATGGTTTGCTTCCTTTCGTTCTAAAAAAAGAAAAAAAGTCTCTTGAAGACTGCGCAAGACCATCGCCATTGCAACTAGTTTCGGTTGGGCCGGTTGGGGCTGACGTTCAATGGCCGTTGGTGTTGCAGCGGCTTCAGAAATCTCCTTTTTTTTACGTTTTAGCCGTTTTAGCGGATATTTTAGTTATCTTCCTTACGAGGGCCGTGTTCAAGAATAGCAAGCGTTGACTGAGAGTTGGAAGACGCTGCGTCGTGCCAACGCCCGTAAGTTTAGGACAGAATGGACGACTCGTGCAAACGCCGGTAAGCAACTTTCTTTAGTTTCTGCGAAGTGGGCTGCTGTTTCAAACTTTGTCGTGTGCTATGTGCTTTCTAACCTATGCTTGATTCTAATTATGCTTCTGCCCTGTGTTATTTCGTTATTTGAAAAGGCGTATCTTCTTCAAAACCTGTGGCTCTCTCCGCAGTGTGAGAAGGATTGTCGTGCGGCGGAACTGTGGGCATGTTCTGGGCGCCGTCCTCCAACGCTCCTCCGACGACGCTTTTATGGAGCGTTCAAGTGCCGTCTGACGGCAGTTCAAGCATTCAGTCGCCGTCCCAAAGTGTTAATCACAGGTCATGCTAGTTCTGACGTCTTGTCCCAACAGCAGCTCGCCGCCGATTTGTTTCATAAAGCGGAAGCGAGAAAAACGTTACAAGAGCGAGCAGCATGATATTTCTCTTAAGCTAATGCCTTGTGCCAGACGCGCCGTCTCTTCGCGTTTGCCGAACTGGCACACTTTCCAAGTTTACGATTGTGTGATGTAAAAAAAGAAGAGTGCAGATGTCACGTTTTTTAGTGGTGGCGAAATCCCTTACAAAAAATAGAGCAGCTAGAAAAAGCAAAAGTGTAAAGCTATACGCGCTCCGGAGTGCACTTCGGACGGAAATGGCTATTCGCATTCCGCGGAGAGCTCATGCCGCTCGGGCCACCCTTTTCGAACGGCGCGTGTATCACTGGGGAGCTCGTTAACACAGTCCTTCGCCTGCGTTCACGCCGCTTCGCGGCGACAGTATGCGGCTGCTAATTACAAAACTTAACCAGTACACGCCGCTTCGCGGCGTCCTGCCGGCAATCCAAGCCCCGCTGTCCCCGATCGTACTTCCGAAAAGGGAGTCCCATACCATTTAGTTCTGCAAAGCTTCGTCGACAACATTCGGTTTTTTTTCTCGTTTTTTTAGTGTTTCTTATAAAAACAAAATGTCGTAAATATCGCCAAATACCTAAAAAAAATGTTTGAGAAAGAAAAGAAAAGTAGGCCCACCGCGGATCGACCTGCGCCCACTTGTGTATAAAGCAAACACCTTAGCCCCAATGCTATGGCATCGCTCAGAAAACGCGTTGCGACCATTTGTTTTATACAAGATTAGCGGAGTGCGTATAGCCATTTCCGTCCGAAGTGCACTCCGGAGTGCGTATAGCTTTATTCATAGCAAAAACATAAGAAAGGTAGAAAAAAATGAACTTAAATGCCTAATGTCCAATCTGATTATTGCATGGAGTTGGAAGACTACCACCGTACCAACTCGCCCGGTTATTCTTTCTGTCAAAGAATAATAGCCAATAATAAGAAATAAATAAATGCCACCTGTTAATTGGTCACAAAAATCGTAAATGATCCATTGCAGCCCTACCCTGCTCTACTCCTTTTATGATATCAGATAATGTGTAAACGTATAGGACAGTTCATAGCAACCATTTATGTCCGACCCATTATATTGAATCGTTTCTCTAAGAGCTGGAAGTTATAGAAAAAAAGTGTTTTTCATAAATTAATCTGCACCACTGAATGTACAATAACATGTGACTTGTATGTATGTGCTCAGCGAAAGAAAAGGATGCATTCAAAAAGCGCCAATCATTTTGTTTCTTCTCCGTTAGACCTTTTTTCAGGTACACACAAAAAGTGGGTGCCTAGGTCTAAAAGAGTGGAATTGACTTTTCCTGCAGCGCTGGAAGGCCTGACGACTCAATTTGGCTAGCAGCCTGAAACCTATGGGAACCTGGGGAGCTGAACCACAAGAGTGAGAGTGACACTCGCCTTGCACTTCCTCAACGATGGCACCATGAGGAAGGGGCAGCTGCCCTAAAGTGAAGGCGATGGCAGGTGGGTCGTTCCAGTGAACCCCTATACAGATGATGCCAAGCAGAAAATTATTGAAAAATGTATTATTAAAAACATGGAGTCTGAAGGGCACGGACAAGGATGAGGAGATCAACACAGCGCTCTGTTGTGTTGATATCCTCTGTTCCCATATTCTTTAAGATTTCTTTTTACTGATTGGCTACCAACTGGTTCAGTCATCAGCACTATAATGATGATGCTTGAACTAGTTGGTAGCCAATAGCAGCATGCTTTTATTGACTATCTACAATAAAAGTATGCTGCTATTTATAAGTATGCTTTAACACTGTGCTTACAGTTGAATCCTAGTCATTCATTAATGAACACAAATAAAAACGAGGGTACAAGCCAGCTATACAGGCTAAACACGAATAACTTATTCAAGACGGGTTCTCAGGAAGATAATACAAACGCAGAAAAGTGTCCGTCACAGCTTAGTTTTAATGGACAAAAAATGAATTGGGTGGCCCAAAAGAGGAAACATAGGGGAAGACATGAAGTCACTCTTTACAATTTCTCGTCTGCTTACCACCACTTAACGAAGGGAATTCCTTCCTGGACCTTACAGCGTAATACTGTTCACAACTCCTAACATACCCAAAAACAGTAAACGCAAAGAAGCAACCTACTAACATCTGGGTAAATCTAATTAAACAAACTGGGAATGCCCTTGAGCTTTTAACAGGAAATAAAAAATATCATTCACAACATCAAGATTTCAAAACACAGACGGAAATCACACTTGTTTCTAATGAAAAATATAGGCCAAGAAACTTCTACCACTTGATGGCAAAACACAGGGAAGGCATTCAACTAATTTCTGGGTTTCATCATTCTTATTAATTCTTTCAGTATACACTTGTGGTCACTCTTGTTAGTCAACCTTTTTTCAGTAGTGTTTTATAAGGTCACACAGTTATTACATAAGATCACGTGTTTTGACACAGCTGAATACAGGTCCTTATTTTTCTGCAACATTTATACTAAGTTCAATCAGTCCTTAATGCGGGGTTTTGTCGCATGAAGTGTTCCATGAGTCGAGCGCGACTTTTTAGCGGCCCTTGGGAGATGTCATGCTGTGGCTTATGCATTACTGGCTTTTCTTTGTTACTTTGTGGTATATGGCAGGCTGTATTAAATTTATTGCAGGTTCCAGCTGCACGAAGCGGGTAGACTCATCGTTAAAGACCGCAAGCCGCTCTCTTCAAGTCGCACAGAGTGTTCTATGAGGTGAGCAATCATTTCTAGCGGTCTATGGCACATGCTCTGCTGGGGGTTTATGTAAAACTGGCCTTGCCCACTTTGTTCCAGTGTTTCTTAACGAAAAAGGTGGACCTCTATAGTTGAATGGTGCACGGCTGCATGCACATGCACCCGGAATTTATATATATATTTTATATACATATATACAAAACTTTCTACTTCAATTCAAACAAAATTTAAAAAGAAAAAAAAATGGCGCGAGTGTTACCTGTATGCCGCCTTCACCTTATGTTTCTGGATCTCTGAAGACATTACGTAAGGGGAAAACCCTTCGGAGTATGTTATTCAAAACTATATAACCAAAATTTTAATAATATTGTAGCGATGAAAAGAAGAATGAGGCCGGAGGTCGCGCGATGCGAGCGCTCGGGCAAGCAGTTCGAAGCAAGCCAGCAAAGAAACCGGACGTCTTGTCCGGCTAATAAACAGCTGGCAAGCGGAACCCGCTTCATTTGGTGTCAGAAGTGGAGCTCCGCTCTGGTCAACGCCTTCCCCGGATCATGGAACCTGCTTCCGACCCTCAGCGGGACCACACCACCAATACTACCGCCGAAAACACGGCCCTGTCGGACCCGCAAGCTTCTCAACTCACGGGTTTAATCACGAACCACTTGGAGCGACTCGAGGCCGTCTACGCCGCGCGGGAGAGAAACCTTCTGCAGAGCTCAACGTCAGTGCTTCAGGAAATGACCGCCTCCCTCACCGACCGTCTGGAGCGCTTAGAAGCTCGGCTCCCCGCACTCGAGGAACCTCATACCGGTATCGTTCCAGCCCAGGCCCTCGTCGGACTCCCAAGCATAAGGCTAAAACCGTCAACGTACGACGGTACCACTCCTTGGGGACCTTACAAAACACAATTCATTCTCATCGCTGATGCGAACAATTGGGCTGAGGCTCAAAAGGCTCAAGCCTTGGCCGCTCATCTTGCCGGAGCAGCGTTGAGCATACTGCATCACCTGCCATCTGAAGCTCGCCAATCCTACCAGGCCTTGGTCGCAGCATTGGACAAACGTTTCGGGGACGAGCCGCTCCGCTATCTCCACCACGCGCAGCTCCGCAACCGCCGGCAGTCAACGGTTGAAACGATCTCCCAACTCGCCGATGACATCGAACGTCTAGCGCGTCTTGCCTTCCCCGGCTGCCCAGAGGAGACAATTCAAGCAGTCGCCACCATGTCATTCATCGATGCTATCTTGTCTGTCGATGTGCAAGACGCCGTTCGCTTAGCACGCCCACAGACTCTACAGGCCGCACACACTTGTGCCCTGGAGGTAGAAGCAGCTCGACAGGCCTCTCGATCCACGTCACTGCGACCCTTCATGCAACCGCAGATACCAGCTATGAAGATGCAGGCGACTCCAGCTCTCGTGTGCTGGAACCGCTACGAGCCAGGTCACACGCGGGCACAATGTCCTAAGAACGACCCTCGTATTGCTAGCCGGACCCCAACAGTGCCAACGCAAAGGCGAATAACATGAACTCGTGCCTTGGCCTCATCAATGGCATCTATCTACCTCCAGGGTATCGTCGACGGTGTGCCCGTGCGCGCACTTGTCGATACGGTGGCAACATCTGTCATCCCCCCTGAAGTTCTACTGAAGGCGAACCGACTCGTCCCACCAAACCCCGAAAAATACGCTCTGCAAACCGCCACAGGGGAGATGGTAACTGTACTGGGCTGCACAACCGTGCCTTTTAGCGTGGGAAGCCTTCAAGTTACGCTGCCTGTTGTCGTCGCGGCTGTCGATGAGCAATGCATCCTCGGCGTCGATTTTCTTAAGGCACACAAGTGTGTACTCGACTTCAACGCTGGGCTACTGCATTTGGGAACTGATTCCTTTCCCTTGGGTGCTGCCACGGTAACGGTGCTCTGTGACAGAGGGATGCCAATAAATCCCACATCCCCGTGTCTCCGTTTCCACGTATTATCTACCAACTTAGCTGCGCACTTGTTGCCACTCTACGAGAGGGCAACTTTTGGGCTGGACAAGACAGACGCTGATCAGCTTCGGCAGCTACTTGAACGATTTCCAAACCTTTTCAGCACAGGCGATACAGATTCGGGGCTGACGTCAGCAGCAACACACCAAATCGTGACAGGACATGCTGCTCCTGTACGGCAGCCTCCTCGGCGCGTTCCTCTCGCTCAGAGGTCATGCGTCAACGACATGGTGAAGACGATGCTACAGCAGGTCGTGATTGAGCCGGCATGTTCCCCTTGGTCTTCACCAGTTACACTAGTGAAAAAAAAGGACGGGTCAACACGATTCTGCATAGACTACAGACGACTTAATGAAGTCACTAAGAAGGAGTCTTTCCCTTTGCCTCGAACCGATGACACCTTGGACGCTCTTGCAGGATGCACGTGGTTTTCTACGCTTGGCCTCAAGAGTGGATATTGGCAGGTCCCAGTACATCCGGGCGATCGCGAGAAAACTGCATTCACCACAAGTAGTGGCTCATACTAATTCAGAGTTATGCCATCTGGACTCTGCAGTGCTCCTGCTACATTCCAGAGACTAATGGAATCTGTTTTGAACGGTCTCATAGGCACAATCTGTCTCGTATATCTTGATGACATTGTTGTCTTTGGTAAAACATTCTCTGACCATCTGGCGAAGCTCGATAGAGTGTTTGCACGGCTACAACATACGAATCTGAAGCTGGCGCCGAAGAAATGTTTGTTGTTCACCAGACAAGTCGAATACCTTGGCCACATCATTTCAGCGGATGGGGTTTCCACGGACCCTCGCAAATTATCTGCTCTTGCTGAGTGGCCGACACCGACATCCACCACTGACGTACGAAGCTTCATCGGGCTGGCATCTTACTACCGAAGATACGTCCCCAATTTCGCTCACCTTGCCAAACCGTTGTATGCATTGACAGAAAAAAAAATCCAACTTTCTCTGGTCTCCAGAATGTCAGCACGCATTTGAGACATTAAAAACAGCACTCACGTCTCCACCAACGCTTGCCTACCCAAAAGACACCACAGCGTTTATACTCGACACCGATGCTAGTGCTTTGGCAGTTGGCGCAGTCTTATCGCAAGAACAGGATGGGCATGAACGAGTCATCGCTTAATATAGCAAAGTGTTCACCAAGCCTAAGAGAAATTACTGTACCACCCGACGCGAACTGTTGGCTATCATCAAGGCCGTAACTCATTTTCATCATTATTTATTGGGCCGGAAATTCATTATTCGTACCGACCACGCATCCTTAACCTGGATGCTAAGCTTCAAGACCCCTGAAGCACAGGTCGCCCGATGGCTGGAGCCTCTTCATCAATACGACTTCGAGATTCAACATCGTGCTGGCGCGCTTCACACAAATGCCGACAGTCTTTCGCGACGACCGTGCAATGACAAGCGCAAACAGTGTTTAGGCATTGCAAAACGCAGCTTCATGTCAATCAACTCACTGCAGAACCTGCCTTGCACTAACGAAGCGTGGACATTGGAAAACCTTCGTGTCGCTCAACTTGACGATCCAGATATCGGACCCCTGGTCCAATGGAAGAAGAAGAACTACAGACCTCGATCTAAAGAAGTGTCCGGTTTGTCTCCTGCCATCAAGAGTTACTTGGTTCAATGGGACTCTGTTTCTGCACGACAACCTTCTCTACCGACGCTGGGAGTCAGCTGCTGGTGGTTCTGTCGCCTGGCAGCTGCTGTTGCCACGCAAGCTCTGCTCCCAGGTATTTCAACAACTGCACAGTAGCCCAGAAGGAGGACACTTTGGTGTGAACCGCACGATCAAAAAGATACGTCAACGGTTCTACTGGCTGCAATGCCACAATGACGTAAAGCCGTGGTGCGTCAGTGCGACATGTGTGCATCGCGTAAAGGACCCCACATAGAACAACGGTCACCACTACAAGAAAATGTGACGGGGGCACCCTTTGAGCGTACCGGCATCGACGTACTGGGGCCGTTTCCTCGGTCTAAGTCTGGAAACAGGTTCCTGCTCGTAATTGTAGACTATTTCACCAAGTGGCCCGAAGTTATTCCCATTCAAAGTCAGACCGCCTCCGAGATCGCCGACGCTCTCGTAAAGAATTGGATTACCAGGTACGGAGCCCCACTGAGCATCCACACAGACCAAGGAAGGAACTTTGAATCGCGAGTCTTTTAAGAGGTTTGCGAGATATTCAATATCACAAAGACGAGAACGACGCCCCTCCACCCGCAGTCGAAGGGCCTGGTGGAGAGGATGAACCGCACCATTTTACATCTATCGATGTTTGTAAATGACCGCCAAGACGACTGGGATAACATCGTGCCTCTGTTTGTGTACGCGTTCCGTACAGCTGCTCATGAGGTCACCAGCTACACGCCCGCCACGATGCTATTTGGCCGTGATCTTCGTATGCCCTGTGAAATTGCCATCCCACGAGCATCAGAACCGGCCAAAGACCATGTGTCTCACGTAAGCGACCTGAGAGCGAACCTAGAACGGATGCATGCATTTGCCCGGCAACGTTTGGCAAGTGGGCTCGCTCGTATGAAAACTCAGTACGACGCACATGTCGCAACACGCCCGTTCTCAGCAGGTGATAAGGTATCGCTGTACAACCCCACCCGTAAAAGAGGACTGTCTCCGAAGCTTCAGCGTCATTGGCAAGGACCCTTTACGATCGTCGAACGGCTGAACGACGTGGTGTATCGCGTACGTCGCAATGATCGATCACGTCTGCTCGTGGTTCACCGTGACCGGCTATCACCGTACGAAGGACTTCGTTAATTCTCACTACAAGGAGAGGAAAAAAAATGGGAGGGGGGATAATGTAGCGATGAAAAGAAGAATGAGGCCGGAGGTCGCGCGATGCGAGCGCTCGGGCAAGCAGTTCGAAGCAAGCCAGCAAAGAAACCGGACGTCTTGTCCGGCTAATAAACAGCTGGCAAGCGGAACCCGCTTCAATATTTTTAATAATGGTTTTATGGGATATTTTCCAATTCTAGTTTCAAAGGCAGTGACTATGAAAGACTAACCCAATTGGCACAATTTCCGAATGGCCACAATTTTGAGATATTCAATCCTAAACATCTGCCTTTTTGTCGCCCAATATCAAAATCTTGCGCTCAGAAGGCCTCAGGATGTCGTGCGGACGTGGTTGCTTCGGACGCACCTTCACTATCCTGGAAGTATGGCGCCGATGCTTCCACTAAGGACACACTGTCGAGATAGTGACGACGTACCCGGTACGACTACGTCACTCTTCTACCCACCATTAACAGCACGAATTCTTGAGCTCAAGCTGAGCGCGGTTTTTGCACCCGACATTAAAAATGCAAAAGTTTGACAATTAATACCTCGAAGCCGCTTGGCTTTTCGTGATTGGTTTAAATCGGTATAGCCTTTCATATTGACTGGCTTTTAACACTGCAGTTGCAACATGGACCATAAAGCCATTGATTACAAGGCTAACAGATTATGGTCAATTCGTCAACATACTGTGACAATTATTCCCTTTATTAATGTCCGCCGAGTCCCACGAACACGCACTGAAAAAGGCATCAACGTAACTCTCACGCCCTTTTTTTAAAATTCTATTAGCTTTCATATAGAGTGCTGTGTATGCATGTAAAACGACTTGTAGAATATAATCATGCACATAATTGTTACGATGGCTCGCTTTTCACCGAATTAAGTATTGCATTTTTTATCGCAACCTTTAAAACATAAGCAAACCATCCAGTTTGATACTGAAAATGCATTCTATTCGGCAATAAATAAACAGACTACTACTTTGTTTGCCTTTGGCTTTATACTTAAAATAATAGGCATGTGCGAATCATAGATTTTGGGCTTAAACTAAATAATGATTTGAGCTTATTAACTTTTCAGTTAAATATCCCACAGCTTCTGCACCTCTCTCTATGCTCGCGAATTCCGGGTCCGTTTACAGAAAGTCATTCAACAGCCGCAGGTTAGCTTTAGGGCGTCCGAGATTGCTCTTCTCTTGACCTAGGCAGCTCGTTTCATATTTTGTCAGAACACTTTTTGTTTGTCACGAATTCTACGGGTGCAGCGAGGTTCAAACTCAACAATGTCTCATAGATAGCTGTAGAAATATATTATCACGAGCACCTTTATATGTGCCCCCCCCCCCCCCCCCCCTCCACCGTTGATAACCACAACCGTCAACCTCGCCAGGCTCGACGCGCTGCGTGATAAATTTCCGATGCTCCGGTTGGTGTTCGACGGGAAAGCTGATATGGCCAGCGACAAGACATAAAATGTAGCTCATGAAAGTTAATTCCTACAGCTACATGAGAGACATTATGTTTGCTGTTTTCTGTAACCTTCATCTTTGGGTTTTTCAGTGTAGAAGAGGAGGCAAAAAATTAACATTGGCCAAGGGACAAATATTAGCATGTACCGTTATGGTCAGTCGGCGGCCCTATACGGTTCATAATGCAGAGTGGCGTGGTGAGAAGGGTGCATCCGTGGCAGACATAGATTGTAGCACCTGAGCTCCCCACCGTCTGTCTGTGTTTGTCCCTTTTCTTTTTAAACTTGCCTTCCCTTGGCTATGTTCGCTGATACCGTTAAGAATCTATTTCGCACCCAATGAACGCTGGCGACCGATGACACCGCCTGGCAAAGTGTGTCTACCCAAACGTCCTTGATTTTTGTCTTCTGACTCTTTTGGGCATATTGTTTCTCAGCTGTGCATCCTCTTACCCAAACAGTAACCTCAAATGTAGACAGGAAGGCTGCTGTCTGCAGAAAGAAGACCGGCCGCTGTAAAAGCGAAATGTGAGAGCAAACAAAAAAACCACTCTCATTGCAAAAATGAACCAGTGATGCATCGGATTTTGGGCGCGGCTTCTATTTTGTTTTTATCTCCAAACCTGTCAGTTCATTTCCAACAATAAATGTAACAAGATACATAAGTCTAGCAGCGTATCATAATGCATCGCAAAAGTATTTCACTACTGAAACACAAAAATATTTCGCAAATGCATTTTGATACAGAAATAGAGATACGCAAAAGTGTCGCTAAGATTATATAGCAATACTTTCATGTCGTGATGTAGACCCGATTGTAATTCCTCATTCGTTTTACGTTGCTGCAGACGCCGGTTACTTGCTTAATCATAAGCACTGTATGTCTGTGTGGAGGCTGATGCTCATGGCCTTAATGGCAGCGAATAATAGCAGTTGACGAGAGCAAACATGTTTTGGCCTTCTACATTAAATAAATTGCGCTTTATCTTTTTACCTAACGCAGGGCGAGAACATCCCACCGACACCATGTGTCCTCTACACCAAGCAGGAGCTGGGCGATGCAGTCTTTCTTCACATTGTTGTGGATCGTGAGCGCTTGTTCCCCGTTTTTACTGCAGAAGAGGGGCTGTGCATGTTGTTGGCAGCATATTGGCTGCTCAGCATAGTACTAATGCAAGGCCTCCAACACACTGGTTACTCTAGGGAGGCTTTTCCTTGGATTGAGCGACACAACTCCAAGGACAGTCGTAATCAAAATTTTGAACAAAGTTTGCAGAGAAGTATGGGGTCGAAGAGATGTTTTTTGAGCCATTTTAAAAGTTTATACTGCACGTTTCTGGCCAGTATAATCAGCTTCATTTTTAGTTTGCTTACAGAACAAATGATAGAAGGTTTTGTGGAGGCATGTTTTATTTTTCTTTCTTTATATGTTGAGCACTTTCTGTGATAACTTATGCTGACCTCCTGAAGGCGAGGCGTGCTTAGAATTTAGCTGTACCAGTTCCTTGTCCATAGTCGTCTTCTAGAACTTTATAATTTTCCTTGTACGTGAGCAAGAGGATAGCGTCTTCTACAGAAACATTTGCTTTTTTGCCGTAGAGTGCAAGTTCATTATGTGATATTTTTCATTACATGTTTGCATTTAGCATTCGTTATGTCATGGAATGGCATACGTTGTATTTTTCATTTGTGTCTTAGGGTTCAATAAATGTTCAATTTAACACATTCTAATTGATGTCGTAGTGAGCTTCCCTTACTGAATTACTGCTGTGGTTCAGTCAAGGGCTAGAACACCCCCCTTTACCCTGTTTCCAGTTAGTAATCAGATGCGCATAAAGAGATAAGTGATAAGTGAAGCGTGTTGCCTGCAATCCTCTGAAACAAACAAAACATGTCACTTGATCTCCTAACAGGAAAGTTCCCCTTGTTTCGTTTGTGGCAACCCATGATGCTTACAATGGCTCAGCCGTGCAGTATGATGCTTGGGGCCACTGCCTGCATAGAGTTCGGGGAGGCGGTGGGGGGGCGGGGGGTGCGCCGTAGCACTTCCCATTTGCTCCCGGGGTTATGATCTGGCTTACAAGGAGCTGTTTTGTATTACTTCATAAGTTGCGTTGAGCGTGACTCATTATTTCTTTATCACGTGCCTCGTATGTGGTGGTGTGGCTATCCCCCTAAGTGAAAAAAGTGTAAATGTGTTCAGTAAACATAATAAGCTAACAAAAGGTAAGGGCGCAAACGAGCTGGTGGTGGTTAAACATTTCGACAAAAACTCCAAGACTGGGTCAAAAAGGGACAGACAAACACAAAATCCGTCCCTTTTTGACCCAGTCTCGGGTTTTTTGGCGAAATGATAAGCTGTAAATCATATCATAATAATAATATAAGAATATGCAATACCATATGTGATTTTTGTACAATTTACACATTCTAATATGTGTATTGGACACATTCCTATAATATTTTCACTGGGGCCTATACTTCATTCCACCCGTCGGCCGAGCGTGGCGGACACTACCAGCCAATCCAGCGTGGAGAGAGCGTCATATGACCTTGAACCCCACATAACCAAAACTTGGCATGATACTCTCCCGGCACCGGATTGGCTGGGGTGGCCCAGCTTCCACTGGGCCACCCCAGCGGGCGCCCATCCATGCCAAGCACCCTTTCCCAAGGGTACTTGGAAAAGGGTGCTTGCCATCAAGCACCCATTATGAAGGGTGCCTGCCTGAACATTATGAGGGTATTAGCCCTGGTACAAACTGATTTACACCCTTAAGTGTGTAAAAACTTTTACTGTCTACTGAAGGCTTCGCTTTCCCATTAGTCCCAGTAAGCTTGTGTAAAGTGAAACATATTGTAACTAAATATCGTTGCACTGTCCCTTCACCTAAAGTTACTTCTTTTCTTTTTTTTTTACTGCTGCATTACTGGGGGATCATAATGGTTGGACCACGGACGACGGAAATGGTGGTCGCAACCAGTGTCGTAAGACGTAGTACTCAAAACGTCCAATAAATATTGAGTAACCTTGCAGGAGCTTCGCTTATCATTAATATGTAAAAGTTTTTGGGGTTGAGTTCTCAAACTTGAGCGCCCGAAATTGTTGACAATCGTCTTAGGAACACCAAACTTTTCTGGCAGTCTGCGATAAATTATATATGAAGTGTATAACTACAGCCACTTTCTGCCAGTGACTGGCCGAAAGTCAATGGCCAGTCGCTGGCCAAACGTGAATGGCCAGGGGCTGGTCAAACGTGAATGGCCACTGGCTGGCCAAAAATGACTGGCCAGTGGCTGGCCGAAATCGAATGGCCAGTGGCTGGTCAAAAGTAACTGGCCAGAGGTGAATGGCCAGTGACTGGCCAAACGGGAATGGCCAGGGGCTGGTCAAACGTGAATGGCCACTGGCTGGCCAAAAATGACTGGCCAGTGGCTGGCCGAAATCGAATGGCCAGTGGCTGGTCAAAAGTAACTGGCCAGAGGTGAATGGCCAGCGACTGGCATAAAGTGGATGGCAAGTCACCAGACGAGGACAAAAACACTTCTATTGCCGACCACTTTGGCCAAGCTTGGGCCATCGAAAATCTGGTTGGCCATAGTACACTTGCCAGCGATGGCCCATCCACAACGTGCTGCTTGGGAAGGTTTCTTGATATCTTCACGTTTAAAATGAAAGACCTTTACAGTCCCTGTAACGCCGAATTAGAGCGCAGCTCTTGAGGGAGGGGAAGAAACGGAGAGGAGGGTATGCCCCTCCTCTTTATCCGCACCTTCCTCTCCCGCTCCTCGCCCATTTAGCGGGAAAAGTTTCGCTAAATTTCCTGCTAATGTTAGCGGAAAAATGTTCCCGCTTAATTTAGAGGAAACATTTTTCCGCTAAATTTAGCGGGGAAATTTTTCTGGCAAAATTAGCGGGGAAATTTTCCGGCTAAATTTAGCGGGGAATTTTTTTCGCTAAATTTAGTGGGGAATTTTTTTCTCTCAATTTAGCAGGGACATTTTTCTGCTATATGCTGCGAGGAATTTTTGTTTTTATGCCCCAGCTAGAACAGGACGCGTGCGACTGCCTGGAGGTGCCTATCACCGTGCCGGAAATCAAAGCGGCCATCGATGAGCTCAGAAATGGAAAGATCCCAGGGCCGGATGGCCTTGGTGCCGATTTTTATAAATCTTTTAAGAATACGGTGGCGCCTGCGCTGTATGAGGTTCTGACCGAAGCCTATCAGAAGCTGATGTTGCCCCTATCTCTTCTTAGGACGCACACTCTGCTTATCCCTAAGTACAGTGATCCGGTGAACCTCTTGTCTGTGGAATCGTAAGGGCCGATTACTTTAACAAACGTTGATTATAAAATTTACATGAAGATTTCAGCTGAAAGATTACAAAGGGTTATTAAAGTACACGTAGGGCCGCATCACACGTGCGGCATTAAGGGCCGTACGACTTGCACGAATATACATGTAGCTACAAGCGTTTTAGAATGCTGCGACGCCTTTCAAAGCTGAGTTGCAAAGTTGCAACTCGACTTTGAGCAGGCGTTGGATCGTGTTTCTGACCGAATACTTTTTCGTACTTTGGAACACGCCAATGTACGGTACAATCTGTTAGAAGGTTTGAAAATGGCTTATAAAAATTGCATTACAAGTTTAGTTGTAAATAAGAGAGTTACAGAAAGCATTGAGATACGTTATTCAGTTAGGCAAGGTTGCCCACTTTCGCCTTTCCTTTTTGCTATATTTTTAGAATCGTTTTGTTTGAGACTTCTTCGGAACGATAACGTACGTGGTTTTAAACTAAACACGAATGAAGTAAAAGTCCTGTTATATGCGGATGATCTTGCGGTTCTTTGCGTGGATCAAGAAAGTATTCGCGAAATCGTCTAGGTTGCCTTTTTTTGTGCGAAAACCGGGAGTGTCATTAATTGGGACAAAGCGGTAGGGCTTTGGCACGGTGAGTGGGATAATAAACCAAATGTTTTTGTTTTTAAATGTTAGGTGGGAGAGTTTACCCACCAAGTATCTAGGTGTGCCGTTAGTGCATTATCGTGACAGTACTTCATACTGGAATGAAGAAACTGAGAACGTTAGACCAAAGGCGGAAGGGTGGAGGGGGAAGGATTTCTCTATTTTCAGGCGTTCCACTGTGTGTAATGTCTTTTTTATTGCGAAGATCTGGTATCTCTCACAGGTACTCTGTATGTCTCGGGCCAATGTGCAGAAGTTCCATAAAGTTCTTGCTGTTTCCATATGGAACTCGAATTGGGAGCGCCGTACACGCACACATCTCTTTTGTTCACTGCGAAGTGGCGGACTAGGGCTAGCTCATTTATTTATGAGGCAAATTGTTTTGAGATTTATGTTTCTTAGGCATCAAAACGACCCCTTCTTACGTACTGTAATTCAAGTTCGCCTGCAAAGTCTTCTGTCTGAATTTGTTGTGTCATCCGGCGTTGTAATAGGCGCAGGTGTTCGTGGGTACATGAGAGAAGTTTTATTGTCTTTCCGCATGTCGAAGGTTCGTTTTTCTATGGAATATTTGGCTACAGTTTCGAAAAATATATTTTTTCTAGGTTTTAGTCGACGTTTTGTTTCGAATACCATTGTATCGATCATTATACTGTAGCGGCAGTGGTTTAGACGTACTAAAAGTAGTGAAAAGAATGCCGGACAGGCCAAGTGTTAAAACATTTTTCTTTCAATTACTTTGTGGCGTTCTTTCGGTGAAAACTTGGCTGTAGGAAAAAGGTTTATTCGTCCCTTGGTCCACCAATTGCTTATTGTGTAAAAAAACCGAAACCGCAGAAGACGTGTTTATCGAATGTTGGGACGCTGTGTTCCACTGGGACATCCTCCAGCGCACCCTCGAAGAAGATTTACTTGTCAACCCACGCGGTATTCGTTATCTGGCTGTGAAAATGTAGATGAAATTCCGTATGATATGATTATACTATTGGGTCTCCACAGTTTGTGGCAGACGAGAATGAGTTTACGACACGCAGACGTGAATGTTCGCACTGTGCGTGAAAACTTTATTGAAAATATTGAAGTTGCCACGGTCTTCGTATGGTTGAAGTGTTTTATCTTTTCCTTTTTTTTCTATTGTAAAAAATCTGTCTAAGCAGGCAATAAAAAAAAAAAAGCCTCGGTGGGTTCGAGGTGAGAGCGCCGGCCTACGGATCTCCGTGTGGCGGGTTCGAATCCCAGCCGACGTGCCCGCAATTTGACGGAGGCTAGATGCGGAGAAGGCACCGTGTAACCGAGCTTTCGATTGCACGTCAAAAGATCCCCAGGTGGTCAAAATTAATCCTCAGTCCTCCGCTGGGGCGTGCCAGATGCCCGTCGTTGGTTTGGCCCGTAAAACTCCCGAATTTGACTTTGCTGATATTCAATAATTTGAGCCGTGGAATAAAAAAAAAAAAAAAATGAAAGCCGTTTACAATAAAGTCCCTCTATACTGGAAAAGTAGCGACAACCTTTGATCACGCCGCCGAGCTCAGCGGTAGGCCGGTGTGTGGCACGTGACCTTCTCCTAGCGCTCCGCCCCTTTGGCAGCCATGAAGGATCCAGCCAGCAAATTCTCCCGTGTCTCGTGTGTCCCGTCGCCAGCCGCGCCGCAAGCTACGCCGGACTCCGTTGCGTCGGACAGATCCGGACTTGCTTAGACGTTCGGGCCAGTTTTGCTGTTGCCGTTGGTCGTGTAGCTTTTCGTTTCTTTTTGTAGCTGGACGTCCGTTTCGCGTTTCGCCACGGATTGCGTTGTAGGACGGCCGGGGAAGGACGGGAGGCACTCACTTGATCGAATGACG